ATACGTTTATCTTTGTCTTAATATTTACCTGCTACTGCAGGTTAAAATCACAAAAAGTTATTCAGTTGTAATTGCGTCTATTTTTTGTCATTTGTAGTTAACATTTTGCGAAAAGTTGTTCAAGTATTTTGTGCTTGCTTTCGCTCTACATTTGCTTCTGCGATTACGGCCCTGGAAGGCGAGGTACACGTGCTTTACAAATACAATTAATGGTGAGAAGCGATACAGAAGAAGTTTACAAGCAATTTTTGTGTAAAAGTTTTGTTGAATTCTTGACTTTTTGAGTAGTTTTTCTGTTATTCATTGTTGCTGTAATGGCTGTTTCCCTCTAAACGTCAAGCACGGCTGATGCTGGGCACTACAGCAATAAAAGTAATTTCTTACCAGATGTTTTTTTTTTTTGTTTGTTTGTTTTTGTTTTTGTTTTTTATTTTCTTATTACATTTTTAAGGTAAAGTAATTGTTGATACCACTACAAAATTCGAAGGCAATGCAAATTGTCAATGCGGAACCGGATATAAGAAAAAAAAAGCGAAAAAAAGAAAAAAAACAAAAAGAAAAGAAAAGGAAAAAACAGTTACGGCAACAGTCAAAAGAAAGTTTCAAAGAAGTTTTTCTTAATTTTCTGCTTAAAACTGATGTAACATTGAAGTGGTTGGAAATTGAAATTATCTATAAAAATTATTGTACAAAGCAAAGTAAAGCAAAGGAAAGCAAGGCAAAGCAAAGAAAAGATGACGGATATTAAAAGAATATTAAAAATGTTTTCTCAATTAAAATATTTTACAACTTTTTGTGCACGAAAAAAAGAGAATTAAAAAATATAAAAATAAAAAAATTTATATATATGTATACATATATATGTACATATAAAGGAACAACGCAGCACAAATTATGCAAATATATACAGAAAGTGTTGCAAGATCCTTCATTTAAATATTTTAATAATTAAAAATTATTTACAAATGGTTTGTAGTTGTGTGTTATTGTGAGATTGTACAAAAAGAAAGTTTACAAATTTCTTCACTTGCATACAAATTGCAATATACTTCGGATTGCGTTGCCTTGTTAGCAAAGGACAAACTTATTTATTGAGAGAGCAACAATTTCTTAAAATCAAGGATTAGCTTGAAGTTCCAAGGGAAATGACATTTTAGCGAAGATATTATTGGAATTGTTATAATATCAGAAACTAATATATCACTGAAACATAAGGCAAAACCGTTTAAATAAGTCTGGGTACAAAGAGAAACTCAACATTCGTGTACTACATCGCTTATGTTAGGATAGCACATTAACTAACAATGAAAACATGTTAGGGACAGACAATATTTTCATCTGCAAGACGGCATTGAAACAAAGTCATTTTTGCAGAGAGGGTTACTCAAGAATTATAGGTCGAATCAGATGCGATAAAGTACAAAACGGTTTGTGATCTAAGACGGACGAAGCTGTTGAAATGGCGGCAAAGTCCACATTGGTGTCACGTACGCTAAAGCTCTAAGCATAGTCGGATTGGAATGGGGTAGCACATAATGAGATCCTCTAACCTAGCCAAGCGATTGCTAGCCCGCTCAACATGAACAACTAAAGTGAGTAAGTAATTGACGATGATCGGGAAAGTCTTTGTCTTTCGTCACGGGAACGTGCCAGGCCTTACATGTTTAGAATGATTCGGGTAAAAGTTAGAAGAGCTTGGCTGTGCATATTTTAATGACCCATCATATAACGTTCGCTCACTAAAGGACTTTTTTAATGGTTAAATGAAGGTGACTTTACAAAAGACTTGTAAAAATCACTTGGTTCACCTTCTCATCCAAAAGTCATGCAGAGTCTCCTGTGATGGCGATACGAGAAAAATGTCAAAAACTTATCCATCGGAACGGAACGGAAAAAGTTAAATTTTTTTTTTTTGAATTTTGTCGAGAAGATGCTACGAACGTTTTTTTCTTCCATCTGTTGTGAAGAAAGAGAAATCGAAATCACATATAATTGAAATAGTGTTTGAGCTTTTTTTACGTTACTCCCGCTTTGGAATAATATCTTTTCAGTACAAATTAATCAGTGCAGATTAAGTTCGCAACTTTATATAAATAGCAACTCAACGAGACCGTGGAAACTTTCAACTTTTCGTTGAGGAATCGCACGCAAAACGATTATTTGTCACTCTTTGTTCACCAGGGAATACATGTAAACAATGCCAAAACAATGCGAACAGTTAAGCAAGATAACCACTTGACACCCAAGACATTGTCATTAGTGATGAATCCTAATGTTAACAAGAACGTTTAACATTCAAACCATGTCCCAAAATGTGGTCACCTCTGCTTCTCTTCTTTTTTTTTTTTTGTTTAGGTTTTTTGTGATAGCTTTACACTTTATGGTAAATAGTGACAAGACATTTATTTTTTTTTTTTTGCATTTTTTATAACACTAAGCGTGATCTAGTTTTTTTATTCATGTTTATATTTCCCGCTTTTGTTTGGTTATCAATGAAATCAGACGCGAAGTAGCTGTGGCCATAGTCTACCTCGCAACGTAAGCCATGAAGGGCCGACTACGTTCACGTCGGTTAATTGTTATACGTCACGTAGAGTTTTGAACAATCTTTCTCAATCAAGTATTGTAATGCTCTCCCCGGTTGCTCTTGGTCGTTAGTGCTTTCTATTTTTTTTTTCTTTTACTTAATATATTTATTTATCTATTTAAGGTTGTCACCTATACAGCAAGGCTTAGGCCTTATAGCATGTTTATAAAGAAATTCTATGTATTGAAGTTGCCTTACGAAACCATACGATACCAGTCAGGTTTCATTTCTTCGAAAATTTTTGGTACCGATAGTTTTGACATTGATTGAGTTTTGACATCGATATTTGTGCGACATCAATTTCAATTGTTTACAAACAATTGTTCAGGGTATATCGTTAGGTAAAGAGACAGATATAAACAAGCAACATTTACGCCATTACTTATTATTTTGCTCTAAACTAGAAAAAAATATAACTGAAGCTAACAAAATGATTGAGTTGTCTTGGGTTAACAACGCGACAAGTTATAAAACAGTTAGAAAGAAATTTGCGAGATTTTAGTCTTGAGAGCGATGAACGCCCTAGAGCATCGTAAAAAATGCAAAATTTAGTAGACATAAATCTGGCACATAATCAATAAAGAGATTGCCTCAAAACTAGGCGGAGTACATCAGTGCGATTTCATACAATTGGAAAGACTCAAAAGGAAAGGAGAATGAGAAAAGATTCAAGAGCTGCCGTCTTCTTGAATTTGTTTAGTCGCTTCAGAAAAACGGATTATCTTCATATATATAACACGGGGCACAAAAAAACGCCCCATTTTTTGCAAACTCGAAGTCGAACACCAAGAGAGTGCTAACGTACGTTTGGTGAGATTACAAAGGAATAACGTACAATGACCTTTGAAATTCTTACGGAAGTGTGTGTTTGATCAAACTCAACTGGCTAAAGCAGGTGGTGCACTTGGGAAAAAATACCAGTTGTGGACAGAAGAGCTTAGAAAGAAGTTTTATTTTATGTCCATGTGCGGTAAAAGCAACCCAAGAAGTGATCTTCAGTTTGGGATTGGTAGTTTTCCCCCATGTGGCATATTCTCTAGACTTAGGCCCCCCTTCCGATTATTCCTTGTTCAGATCGCTGCAATCGCATTTACGCGATCAGCTGACGACGGCCGAAAGTGGGTCCACGACTATGTCGCCTCGTAGCCACAAAGTTTTTACACAGAGGTTTATTAGCCTTTGTAATTGTACACCTAATAAATTAAATATAGGCAGATAATAAGAGAATAAAACTAAAGGACAACGAGAGTGAGAAAAAATAAACAGAAAGAACGGATTACGATATGGCTCAACGATTAATTGCATTATAATGCGCCGTTAACAAGCAACAAAACTGTCTGACACTGCCTATCGCTTGCAAATTTGATGCTAATCCGACAGTATATATATTCGACAGATATAAAAAAAACTTTTGGACGCTAGGACATAGTATCGCATTTGTTGTTTTCGTACTTCCATTGTGTGTTCTCCGCGAGTTTTAGTTTCTCGTGCAGAGATGGCTGCTGACTTACGTAAACAATTTCATGTAGCAATAGAAAGATTGGCGCTCAATGCTGAACCGTGTTATCAAAAGTTAAGTCCAAGAATTGATTTACGTATATGTAATTATACGGAAATGTCATCACTTTGCTTATATAGGTATGCATATCAGAGAGCATCGTTGTTAGCCATTTTCCAAGCAACATTGTCTGCTGCCCTACATTTTGAGGATAATTCACATCTAACTGGAAGCATTGGGAGGAAATTCTAAGTTGTTATAGCCACGAGCAGTGGTAGAACTAATAGTATTTTTCCAAGTTACCTTCGAATTGAGAGCTAAGTTTAAACTTGATTGGTTTTGTACGTTCGTATCATAATACATTATTCCTTTCTTTTATATTCTTTAGAAAAAGACCCGAAATTTCTACACTTCGGTTAGCAAGAACTTAAGTTCTTCAGCTAGAAGTGCTCTGAGAAGAACTACCTCGACGAGAACTCAACTACTCAATATATGGCGATCATAAAGGGCGCATTAAGTCGCATTGCGGAAAGACAGAGATGAAACCCAGTTCCGAAAGCGTGGAGAGAGTATAACTGTAAAGGCAAATCTTCGAGCAATAGATACATTTCTTTAAAAGGTTGGGCATGGTTGACAAAAGTCGGATGATACAGGTAGGAAATGAACTTTGAAATATTCGGTTAAAATATCCGACGTATATACATATATGTTTATTACTACTTGATAAAAAAAAAGAAAAAAATATTTTTTTGCGATCTTTGTCTTCGAATGGTCGAGCTTGTTAAAAAACTATAATTTTGGGATCAAAAAAAAAAAATAAAAAATAAAAAAATATGAATGTAATAAAAATTTCCCAAATAAAAAACAAACTCATGGCTTTACATAATGATTTAAAATAAAAAAGTTTTTACTCACTTGTCCGTTTTTGTACCACATGGTAGAGGCTATATCCAAATCGACTTCGCACATTAAACGTATTTCGGAATGTTGTTCGGCATAGACTACGGACATCTCTTCATCTTCATAGGGATTAGGTAAAATAGGTCTAAGGGGTAGAGCTCTCGGCTCATCGTCATGAGAATAGTCCTCACTTTTATCTTCGCCTCCCATTGAAACTAAAGCGGCAAATTCTCTTTGACGTTGCGCGCCACTATCGAATTCTTCACCGTCATCGATGATTACGACAGATTCTTTTGGTTTCTTAAGAACTTCGGCGGGTACTCGCACCAACGAACGGCCGCGTTTACTTTTAATCGCAATCAAAGGAATCAAATGATGATAATTTAAACTTTCATTGTGATACGTAGACATAGACATATGTTCTGTAGTTGTTGGTGCTAGATTTGTGGTTGCAGTTGTGGATGAAATAATCGCAGATCGTAGAGATGTAGTTTCGTGATTGCTTTCTGAACTGTTAAAACTAAGATCCGATTCCTCCGTTTCGCGTCTATTACGTTTTTTAAAGCTTTCTTTATCCCGTTTATTGCGTGAGGCAGGCCACGGCAGCTGTTGCTGTTCATGATGATTTCTTCGATTAGTTGTTTCCCTATGTGTCTTGACTTCTTTGTGTTGCATTCTATGTGCTATATGAACTCTTTGGTGCTCTCTCTTTTTCATGTTGGCAGGAATCTTTCTATTTCTATTTAAATTATAACTTTTATCATTATTGTAATGGTTATTTTTATTATTATTTAAATGAGTTTTATATGCAGACTGAACGTAACGTTCATTCTTCATTGAAGGCATTTGGGATGGTTTATACAAATTGTTGTTGTTGTTGTTGCTTTTGCTGTTGCTGTTATGATAAACATTTTTGCTTGAACTTTGCTTTGAAGGTTGCCTTAGTTGAGAAATAGATAATGACGACGATGTAGAAGAAGAATTGTAGGGATTTTTTAAGAATTCAATAGATAGTACAGTTTGATTGGTTTTAGTCTTAGCTAAGAAGTTATTACGTCTAATTGGAGATGTGATAGCTTTTGCTGTAGTTATCGGTGATGACATTGTTGTTAAATAGTAAGTAGCAGAGAGACCATTTTTATGGCTGCCTTGCGGGTGTAAACAATTTTTGGCACATTTACTTTCTTCAATATTTCTCACAATTTTTTTATTATTTACATTGTCAATGGAACTATTTTGATATAATTCATAATGGTGCTGAGACACGGGTTGCTGTTGTTTCTGTTGTTGTTGCTGCTGCTTTTGTTGTAGCATTAATTCACTATGATATATTGATAAATACCTCTCAGGCTTAGCGTCATCTCGGGCATTTAACATATTTTCGTGATTTTCTATACTGGGCTCGTAGAGGCCACGATAAGAGTAGTGATTGCTTAGAGTTTTTTTGAGGCTCCATTTGGTTATTTGGTCGGCAGGTTGTTCGTATGGTTGGCCTAATTGATGTCGCTGCTGTAGCGTTCTGATATTTTGCGGTTGTATTGGGAAAATGCCTAAGATAGTAAAAATATTGAAAAAGAAAAAAAAAATATGAATAATTTTTTTCTATTTTCGCGTTTCTTCAAAGCAATAATAGATTTTATTTGCATATTTTTTGTTAACTAACACTAGCCTTTGTGCATTTTTCTACATAATAGACTTTCAAACTCAATTTTATGCCTTTAACCACGCAAACTATGCATCATCATCATCATCATCATCATCATGATTGGACCACCTTCCACCGTCCTTACCACCGTTGCGTCCGTATACCTCCTCGAATACAAACAATTTTGGTCAATTTACACGTATCTACCGCAAGCCACCACTTACCGTAACCACTCAAAACTCTTCAACACACTAATGGATGACCGAAGTAAACGAAGAGAGAGAGAGAGTTTGCGAATCCATTTTTCTCGTTTCTCTTACGGTTGTTAAAATGATGCTAAAGGGCTCGTTATGCTTGTTACAAAATTTCTATTCTATTTAATCAAAGGTAATGGTTAACTTTGTGTATTTCTATGTATGTAATTGTAAGTGTAAGCAGTAAGTGCAAGCGTGAATGTCAGTACGAATGCGATTGCAGTTATTTAAAAGGAAGAGTGAAAAACTATTTGCTATGAAAGGCATAACGAACTTGTACAGTTCGGAGTAACAATAGTAGAATGTTGCTTATGCTGTAGCCGTTGTATTCTAGCTGAAGTATTGTTAGTTGTTAAGTGGTCCAGCAGACAGTTATGAGAGTACTTGTGGTAAAAAATAAACTACAAGTCTATACATATACATTTGCATATATATATATATATACATACATACATATATATAGATACTTATTTTTACTTATATATATATATATACACAAAGAAAAATATGTAGTAAAAAAAAAAAAATAATAATAAAAATCCAATAAAAGCATCAGAAACAGTCAAGTGGAACTTGTTGAATGTAACGGAAATGTTTCTTCCCTGTGATATAACTTAATCTGCGTTTTATTTACATAAAATAACATTTAATGGAATTGTTTAATTATTAAACTTTCATTTCATTTATATTTATTTACATAAAAAAAAAAGGACAGAAAACATGTATAAAAACTTTGCTCAAATATTACAATATTCACTATTTATTTTATTTTATTTTTTTTTTTTTCACACAAAGAAAATGTATAATAATAATAATAATAATAAAATGTTGAAAGAGTAAAACTAACACTGATACCAATAGCTTGTATAGATATTAAAACAAAAATCCTATAAAAAGGAATAGACGAGGCGGGGCGACTAAATCCAAAAATGTACAAGCAAACACCATGGACTACAGAATTGTAAGACGTCTCTCGGGGACTGGCGCCGAAGAATAAAATCAGCTACAAAAATTTAAATGTTACATATGTATATGCCTCGAAGGAACCTTCCACTTCCACTTTTGAAAAGAAACGATGAATAATAGAGAAAATGATAATAACACAATAAAATTATATTTTATAAAAAAATATTATATAAATAAATCACTAGTAATAAGTACTGTATATGGCGCAGAAGTAAACGTTCTTGGTCAAAACTTCAACATTGAATGCATGCTGAATGGCCAGAGCGGATATAGCATAAAGAAAGGTAAGGAAAGAAATTGCATCCGTTAGTGAAAAATTGGATTATATTAGAGTTTCGTTTTCGGCGACTGCTTCATATATATATATATAGAGAGCATCATTATAAGCATTTTGTAGTGATTTAATTATGGCCTGTTTTCCATCCTTTGGTCTGCCAACCGTTTCACGCTTAGAACATTTAAATAGAAACCTTAAACTTCCTAAGCATATTTTTAATTATGAAGTTTGAGAAGTTACGCCTCCCTCCCCCCCGCCAACCAAGATAATGAAAATAGAGATGCTGATCTGAGGCTGGACCAGCAAAGACAAAAATTATTTAACAGGCACTTGGTATATAGTTGGTGTATAACTCAAGGCTCTTCGCTGGGCTGGTCCGCTCTACGAAAATTTATTAAATTCATTGAAATTTCTTATCTTATTCCTGCAGTAAAATATTCTTTCAAATTTTTGACCAAAGTCCTTCTAATATATGATTATGAAAACTATCCCGACAGACTAGTACTGCAATATACTGTGAAACTGTGCTGAGCTAAGTAGTTCTTCTGTTTCTTTGCATTTCTTCACATTTTGCAAGGAGCAATAGAATATGTTTTTAATACCCCTGGACTTCAATACTACCACTATCGAAGGATGGGATAAAAGAAAGGATATATATACCTTTAATTTGAAACGATGTAGCCTTCTCTGTGCGACAGACATTCTCCTTGCGGCACATAGAAAGACAATAAATTTAAATTTGGGGAAAAGATTGGAAGTTCTTGCGCATCGATTGGTACTGAAAATGGGTCAAATCGGTCAAAGGACACGCCCATAGTCAAGTGTAAACTGAAAGCACCTTTGTTTTTTTAAGCAAACATTTTTTTGGCTTTTGCTCATTACCCATAAATTATGAAAGATAATTCAACTTCTGAATCGAATCCGTCCGTCTGTCTGTCTGTGGAATGTTTGTCGTGAACATTCTCCTGGCCACAAAAAAGAACCTATCGATTTCGAATTTGGTATAAACATTGGATGTTCTTGCAGGCAGATTGGTATTGAAAACGGACCAATCGGTTGAAGGGACCGTCTACAGTACTACCTAAACTGACAACACCTGTGTCTTTCAGAAGAAATACAAAATTGCTTTTGGCATAAACTAAAGCAGATATTTAAAGCAAATAACCTTTTTTTTTTTATTTTATAGGCGATGCTTTAGTACCCGCACAGAAATGGAAAAATTGACCACACCTATCCAATGTTATAGTACACCAAAGTTTACTTTTCTTCAATATCTTTATAAGGCGCATAAAAAAGATTCCAAAAACTCCATAAACTATGCAAATTCTTAGTTAATTTCAAATTTGGAATAAACCTTCTGTTCTTCTGTCCATTTGTCTGTCTGCGCAACTGTGTAGTATTTATAGGTAATAAATGAAGACGTCGCCTATAAATTTTCAAAAGCATTTGGCGGTGACTTTTCCAGGGACATGCCTGCAACGCTTACACGCCTATATGACAAAAACTTTTGTTTTTAAGCAGCGCTTACTCCATATTATAGAGCATGAAAGTTGGTTCTCTTCCTTTTTTTTGTCTTTTTAACACAACGGTGATGGATATAAACGATTCAGTGACAACTGAATGCAATCTTCTTAGTTGTTTTTATTTTAAACGAGAGTTTTTTATTCAAAACTTGGATATAGGAATCCAAAGATGAAAAAAGACTGATATGATATATTCAGTGAGTAGCAGAGAAATCTTGCTCTTAGTAATGTTGTAAGTGAATGGGATATAAAAGGAAGAAAATGAGAGAAAAAAAAACAACGCCGAAAGTGTACGAAATATTAATTAAATTCATATTCACATTCATCATCCAACTTTAACTCCCATGCCCGGAAAAGCAAGCAACACTCAACGTTTTTAAGGCCTATGCTGGAATGATTACATTTTTCCAGTTTGCAGGATAGTTAGTTCTCAGTTTTTTTCTTCTTTTGTTCCAATATTCTTAGTATTGCAATATGTTCCCTTTCATTTTACAATTCCCATACTATTACCAACTATCGTCATTTGTGATAGCAGATCTATAATCCAGCAGTCAATAATTCCCGGAACTACATATTAAAACGTGTTACTTTTTTAAAAGGTTCAGTTTCTGAAAATAGGGTCCAGTTTCCACAATAGCTTCATCATTTGATCCCAAAGCTGTTTCATGTAGCATCCTTTCGAAATTTGCAAACAATTATTAGTTGAGTCGGAAAACACATGCAAACTTGTGATGCGGTGTTTTTGCTACACTATGAGCAAAAACGGTACCCTCGCGGAAGGGAGGCTTCTTATGTCAAAGTTTTCATGCAAAATACTACGTGTATCGCAATTATGTAGCCACTGCCGAAGGATACCGCGTGCATTCATCTTTTAAAACCATTTCCGATAGCTAGAAGAGCATTGTTGATAGACCCGATAAACTGTCGATCAGTATCAAATTCTGAAGCGACTTACGCACGTCCGTTTACTGAGAACACCACCCTTGTTAAAAGCAAAAAAATTGGACTTTTTGCTCCTTACTCATATCGCACAATAGAATAAACCAACAATCGGTTGCGCTCACTCGGTGGTTCTTTTGTTGTGTTTCTCTTTGAAGACAAAAGTGATGGGCGTAAAAAATTCAGCCACAGCGGAATATAATATTCGTATATGTGAATGTATGGCGAATGTCAGCTAACTCTTGCACTTTCTTTTCTCAATAATGCGAAGCAGAACATTGTTGTATTCTTTTGGGAATCCATTGCGTCCATTACAACTGCTTTAGAATTAAAACTGAGATAAAATACAACCAAGTAGTATAACTAAAATCACCATAGCTTGCAAAAAAATTGAATGAAATTCTAATATTCACCGTCTGAAGACTGGAAGATATTAATAATAATAGGGATTATTTCTTGGAGATGATATCTATGTATAAGTCCCGAAAATTATTGACCGGAGCGTTATTTTCAACACTCAAAAGGGGAAAATGTTTCAAAAATTTAATATCGAAAGTAGGTCAGATGACACTATTCTTCAATGCCGTTTGAATAATGTAATAATTCAAAGTTTACTTTCAATATTTACTTTAGTTAGTAACATTCTGTTAGTCGACATGACCCTAATATTCCTTTAAATTTACCTAATTTCCCGTCAAGTTCTCTCGATAATCATTTCATATTTCCTTTTCTCCTTTGCTACGAATGTTTTGCCAGTGTTAAAAGCCGTAATGTTGTGACGGATATCCTTTGTTCTTTGCTCGTCTAACTTCAAAAATGTCATCGTTAGTTTTTCTTTTTTTCTATTTTTCTTTTTTCTATAATACTTTTTCCCTGAACCATGCTTTTCTTTCTCACTCTATTTGCTAGTTATGCTTCTTTTTTTTTTTTTTATTTTAGTTTTAGC